GGAAATTAGTGGAGAAGGAGTTCATAGAAAGATAAATAATTAAAATTAAAATAAGCAAGCGTGGTGACCATCTTTTCTAAGAAATCTCCATGGCAATTAAGTATTCTTTTTCTTCTTCTGTTCATTTTTTTTTTTAAGGTAATACTGTAATTCCTTGATTCTGCATACACCATCAATGTATTAGCAGCTTTTCTGAGGAGGGAGGAAAGCCTACTATGAGAACATCAAATACGTAAACATTGATTTTAAGAGTCTCTAATTTCAGAAATGTTAAGTTGGGAAGAGGGGTGTGGTGAGGCAGGAGAGGGTTCAGTAGGGGAGTGGAAGTAAGAGTACAACTCAAAATTCAGGAAATCTAGTACCTGGATTACTTCTTCCGGCCCTGTTGGGAGTCGGTTGCTTCCATAAATGGATGGCTTTGGGTGGGCTGGTGAGCTGATGACCACAAAGAAACATGGAGCTTCCACTCACCTACTGACTATCCCAGAAGAAACTGTGATGGATAGAACCTCGGTGGTAAATGAAAATGAAGCTATCACTTTCACTTACAGAAAGAACCTCAAAAATGCACTTAAAAGAAAAGAGAGACTTTATGGAGATCTTAGATATTACAACAAAACATGACAGTGTATCATAAGGTGCATCAACATTAAATCAGAATACAGCTCAATGTCATAATGCTATTCCACCTCCCAACCAAGGTTATCTCTTGAGAAATAGAAGCAAACCCATTTTACTTAGGAGTTAAAATCCTTAAAATCCCTCTGAATAGAAGACAGAAGAAATATAATAAAAACATAGTAAATGAAAACAACTTCGGGGCAGAGAACTGCATCTCCTTTCAGCATATAGAACCATACTATCCACCCTGTCCAAGACAATTCCTAGTGATGGACTTTGGTCAGTAGCACAGACATATGCCAACAGATCCAGAAATGTTGAAAGTTTGTTTACAGAAGCACTAAAATGATTTTCTTGATGGGATTCCACAATAGGAATATTGTTGTTTATGAACCATGTATACTCAAATATACAAACAACTCTATTCCAATTTATACCCGTGAACACCTGTGTCATTCTCTGGGGTTCTATACTCTATACAGAAGGATTTTAACTTCTAAGTAAAATGAGTTTGTTTCTATTTCTCAAGAGAGAACCTTGATTGGGAGGCAGAATACCATTATGACATTAAATTGCATTCTGATTTAATGTTGATACATCTTACGGTTCACTGTCATGTTTCATTGTAATATCTAAGATCTCCATAAAGTCTCTCTTTTCTTTTAAGTATATTTTTGAGGCTCTTTCTATAAGCAAAAGTGATAGCTTAAGAAGTTTAGCTCTTAAAACCATGACACCACTGTCTACATTTACCTCTCTAAAGGCATTAGGCTACATTCGAACATTAAAACACCCCATCTTCTTATACGGAGTCACAAACAGAGTCTACTGACTGCTTCTACAGAGAAGTCATTTGAGTTTTGCTAAGTAGTACTTCCATTAACCATGAAAAGCTCAGGAAAACTGGAATAATGAGGAAAGAAATCAGAGGAAGACCATAAAAGCCCAGTTCATTTCAAGGAGAAAGCAGTAACCCTTCCTCCCCCCTCCATTTTAAATATCACAACAAATTTAAGTAACAAAATAAACAATTCACTGAAAGCATACTTTATGTACAACTTTAATTTCTTCCTACTGTGTTCATTACCAAGCTGTTTTCTTTCTTTAGGGAGGATGGGGGAGAAAAACTTTTAAAAGACTCATTTAACAAAGAAGTCAATTTCCACTAATGTATTCTTCATGTGGCATATGTAGTCTTCCAAAACAGATCTATATATACAAATATACATGTATCAGTATCTTCTTTTATAAGAACAACAGCAATTAGCCCACCCCAAAGACATTATTGCTATTCATATCCTGTAGGAAAAAAACATGAATATGAAAACTACCTCATTTATAATAAATGCAAACTGATTAGTATTTTTGATAGAACTGTTTAAAAAAAACAGCTCTAATTGTGAAAAGAATAATGCAACTATTGTGTAAACCAGTTTTTACCTTCTAGAAAGTTAGGCAGGAAGTCTTTTTCATGCATTCATCCCTGAGGAAGTAGAAATAAAGTGCTTTCCATCAATTGTTGCCATCAAGTTATATAAGACAAGTTATATAGTACAGACACTGTGGTCTTTGTGACTTTGGGTGTGTAAAGGTACCATCAGCTTTCGCAGAATCACCAAGGGCTCCCAAGGTCAAGATCCCAAGGCCACTTTTGTATGTGTTCAGTGGAAGGCAGGAAAGAATTTGCACTAGTGTGTAGGAGGCCAAAGTAGAAAAGAGAGGGAGATGAAAACAGAGGCAACCCAACTGCCTACAAAATATTCATCACAGATTTCAAAGAAGGCTTTCTCCTTAAGCTTTTTAGATCATGCCTTAGGTAGAGGGACCGGGGGTTTTAATTGGCAAGAACACATACATGCCTAGCTTGTTAGAAATGGGGAATATAAAAGACACTACTTTAAATCCCTCAAATTTCATTCTGTACATAAAATGTGGCCAGTGGAAGCAGGAGAGGAGACATCTGCACATAACACACATGCATGCACATCCACACTTAGATTCAAAGCAAGATGCTACAACTAGCCAGAGAAAAATAACAGCCATGTGTGATTAGGCAAAATGTACATAAGAAACACAGACATGAAATACACTAAATAGAATATATATGTATGTGCATATATACATAGATTGAGTTCTAGCTTTAATCAATGCAACCCACAAAATAATTTTCTCTACTGTTGAAGAGTTTTCTAATAGCTAGCCCTCCATTAAATATCATCAGATGGAAAGCCAGTGTTTGGTTATTACAGAATTAGACTGAGCCAGAATCTGGTACCAGATGGTACTTAACATACATGTAAAGATCTGAAAAATAACAGATATACATTATAAGCCCTTTCAGAATTCTCACCCCAAAGGTGCCCATAAAATACGTATTTCTGGCTTAGCCCCATTATTTTTACATATGACGCAGGTACTTTATCTGACTGTTCAAATGTCGGCTGGCACCTCAGTCATTTACAGGGCACTTTTACCTGCATGATCCCACCAGATTCTCGTGGTGGTCCACTGAGGTAGGAGGGAGAATTATTGTCCCTGCTTAATAGATGAGAAAGTTGAAATTCATACAAGTAAATAAGTAAATAATTCAGAGGTAATGAAGACAGAACCAGTAACCAAACTGTCTAATTCTTAGTCTAAAGTAATTTGAGGAATTACAGATACATTGCGTCTTGCAATATACAGTATCTATATTGCCTGTATGCTTTACTAGTTACAGTATTCGGGCAATGGCTTTTTTTTTTTTTTTTTTTTTGGCAATGCCCTTTAGTCTGCCTTCTAGGTCCCTAAAACAACACAGCTATTTCTCACTAATTTTTCTCATCAATTCATTTCCTGGGTTAAGTTTCCTTCTTCCGCAACATCTCCCTGTACACAGCAATCAGAGAAACATGAACTGGGCTTCTCTCTAAGGGAAGACGTCCACCAGTCTAAAAAAGAGAGACAAAACACTAATATTTGGTAACCCACCTGCTAGCAGCACCATTGTTCTTTATTAGCAAACACATTGCCCTCAGGTGCTCCTGGCTTGCTTTTTCTCAATCAATCTGCCTTCAGAGCTGGAGCTTGTAAGAGGCACAGTGTCCCATTCTGTTGCAAAAATTCTATAGTCTCCTCAGCTACTTTCTCTTTATCATTTCTCATGAAAGTAATTTCTTATACAGAAATGAAATGGCATATTGTATGAAATAATTATAAAATATTTTAAAATTTCTTTTGTACATTTCAGTCGAGTATTTGAGAGGAAGCCGAAACCAGTTCTGACGATGACAGGTGGAGGGTAGGAACTGAGTTAGCATCAAGGCATTCACTTCAAACCACTTGTAGAAATGAAGTAGCATTTAGTTGCACAGAGCTGCAATCTCCAAATACACATGTTTGTTTTCAGATGACAGCAGTTCTTCAAATTAGCAGTGAAAATATTAAGCTGACAGAAGACATTTTGGTTGTTTTGACAGGTTGACTTGAGTGTTATGCCATCTTATTAAACCAAGCCAAGTAAAGGAAGAAAAGCTTGATGAGGTCACCAGCTAAATCTGACTGCATAGCAACAAAAGAGTGATAAAGATGTGTCCCCAGGGTAGAAGTCCCTTTGCCTCAATGAGTCTTTCAGGTCAAGAAAGGAAATTTGTTGACTAGATTCTCTTAGCTTGCTCCCATAGGCATGTGACTAATAGCACTTTACAGTCTGTTGTGAAGAATATAATGATTAACTGACCATTTAAAACCTAGAAAGGTCACATTAGCAGCCCTTATCAGTGCTTCGAAGCCAAAGCAGTAGAGTGTGAAACCTGAAATCCACTAGGAGCTCAGAAAATGATTAAAGTCAGAAGTGATCCATGGCTGCTTATAAATGAAGTCCAAGATTCCTAGCATTATCAATAACAGCAGTAGGCACCAGATCATTATAGGTGACAACAACAACAAAAAAAGGTAGTTGGATTTTCTTACTTTTGTAATAAGCAAAGAAAAGCAGTTGGGCTAATGGAAATATTAGTTATTAGCTGTAAATTTTGTAAATGAATGCTATTTTTAAGTTTAAGAGACTGTCTCATCATAAATATTTCAAAGAGCACACTATTAATTCAAGCCAATCAATAATACAGCATAACCCTCCAGCTAAGTTACAAGTGAGAAGAAATTTATTCATCAGCTTTACTCACACCAAATCTATATCCAAAGTTTGGGATTGGTTATAGCAAGATGCATTGTCTTATTATCAAAATAGTATTTATTACTGAAACATTTCTAAAGCAATAACCTGTTATGACTTTTTAACTCATTGAATAGAAAGTTGAATATTTACTGACATTTCTTGAAAACTTGCAACCTGCCTGCGGGAAAGAATTTGACATCATCACACTGTGTTTTCTTTATCTTGACAGGAAGTCAACTTCAAGCAGATTGACTTGAATCAGGGTCTCATTTGGGAAGCATCAGTGTCCAATAAAAACTGTGTAGTTTTTTTTTATTATTATTTGGAAAATACTCAAGTTCCAGTTGTTTATCCTCCTCCTTTACTTTCTGAAAACCTGGCAATCCCATGTGGACTTCTGGTAGAATGAGCAATGCAAAGAACTGGCTTGGACTTGGCATGTCCTTGTACTTCTGGGGACTGATGGACCTTACGACCACTGTTCTCTCGGGTACTGCAACACCACAAGGTGAATTAGAAGCGCTCCTGTCAGATGAGCCACAGTCACATCAGCGGACCAAGAGGAGCTGGGTTTGGAACCAGTTTTTCGTTCTGGAAGAGTACACTGGGACCGACCCTTTGTATGTCGGCAAGGTAAGAAATGCCAGGTGGAAATGACCTGGGTAATGGATATTGAAACTGAATATGAATTGAATATGAAAGTTCACCCAGTTGTGTCTGAGGCCAGAGAAAAATTGGAACTAGTGGTAGGTTACTTGACACCCAACTGAAATGTAACTTCTGCTTTGTCAGATACCAGTCACAAAGGAAAGATTTATTTCCTTCCCCATGTCTCCGTTATGAATGGGAAAAACTGGGATCTGGGATTTGAAAGAAAAGGCTCAGACCCTACACGAGCTATTCAAGTCCTGAAAGAGGCAGTAGCAGCTGTCTGAGGATGACAGAATGAGGAAGACAGAAACTGGGAAATGCAAGGAGAAGAGTACAGGGTTTTTTGCTTTGTGTTTTTGTAGGGTTTCAGAGCCTTTGCAGAGGTATTGTCTGAAGCCCAAATTTAATGAAAAAAACTAAATAAAATATTTTTCATTTCAGAAGATCCTAGCATGTGCTTTAGGATAGCTGGAGACAATAAATGGATATATTTATAAATGTTATACTTGAATTTTCTTGATCTAATCTATCATTATTTCATTTTTAAGCCTGGATTTTTTCCTTTGTTTACTTTATTGGGGTGTTAATCGGAGACCATTTTGTGAAAGCAACCAAGTAAGCGAGAATGGGAGACAAGGAACTAATTAGAAAATAAATAATTCATTCAAATGGTAACATAAATGCTTGTTTAGCAGAAGCTGGGAGCATGGGCTTCAGATTCAGACACATGTGTGTTCAAAGCCCAGCCCTGCCAATTATTTCCAGAGTGACTTTGGACAGGTCACCAAGCCCTCTTCACCTCGGCTCCCTCAAATTCGAATGAGGGGGATGAGAGAACAGCCCTTTCTCAAGTGCTGCCCACTCCAGCTTTCCTCAGCTCCCACCTACTTCTTAACCCAGGGGTCTGGCTTCAGTCCCCACCATTGACCCAAAGCTATGTTTTCGTCACTTCTCAAAACCTCCCTACTGCCCAGTCCAATGGCTTCGTTTTATGACAACCTCAGATAGCGATGACCTGTCTCTCCTTGACTCATTGTCCTCTCTGTGCCATGACCTTCACAATCCCGTTCTTCCTCCGTTTATTCTCAGCTGCATTTGTGGGTCCTCTCCTTCCACCTGACCCCAGTTGTGGGTGGTCTTGTCAGCTTTGCCCCGGCCTCTTCTCTACACACTCATTCCCTGGGTGGACTCACCACCTCTGCAGTTTTGAATGCCACATCTATGCCAGTGAATGCAAAACCTCTGTCTCTGGCTTAGACCACTTCGGGTTACAAATACTACTGCACATGTGACATCTCCACGTTTTTTTACTCATAGGCCTTTCAAATGTAGCATGTTCAGCAAGAAACTCTTGCTTTTTTCTCCCAAACATAGTCCCCCCCATCACCCACCCACCACCCAGTTCCTAAAACCAGAGACCTGGAGATCATTCCTCCCTTTCCCCTGCCCCCACATTCTCTCCATCTGCAAATTCTGCTAGTCCTATGTCAGAATAAACCCCAAATCCTGTGTTTCTTTTATCCAGGCGTCCCCAAACTACGTCCCGCAGGCCGCATGCGGCCCCCCACCGCACTTCAGGAAGGGGTACCTCTTTCATTGGTGGTCAGTGAGAGGAGCACAGTATGTGGCGGCCCTCCAACGGTCTGAGGGACAGTGAACTGGCCCCCTGTGTAAAAAGTTTGGGGATGCCTGCTCTTATCCCTGCTTCCACCATTATCTGTCACCTGGGCAAATATCTAGCCTCCCAACCAGTCTCATGTCCACCTGTACCTCTCTCCAGCCTGTTCTCCACTATGGTCTTTTTATAAATCAAATCAGATCAAGTCACTCCTCTACTTAGGTCTCTTCAATGTCTTCCCCTTGTGTGTTGAATCCTCCAGACACCTCCCCACAGCCTACAAGATCATTCCTTCCTGGTTCAGCCTGCCATGGCCCATCCCATACAACCATGGCCCATGCCACTCTCTCCCTCATTCTCATGTTGCAGGGATGTGGCCTTCGGCAGTTCCTGCATCCTGCCAAGCACTGCCTTTATATGAAACGCCCTTCCTCTGGCTTCTCTCATGCCTTTCATGACCATTCTCCAAGGCAAGCCCCTCTGTTACACTCCCTTTCACAGCCCTAATCACAACCATCGTATTTGATTTATTCATTTACATGTTTATTGTCTGAAGCCTCTGACTAAACTAGAAAGTCAATGAAAGTGAAAACATTGCTTCCATTTTATCACCAAGGCCTAGCGCAGCATTAATCTTGTAGAAAGTGCTCAAGACGATATTTAAGGAATGAATACCTCGCTGTGTAGTAAGGATGAAATAAGCTACAGCATGTAAAGCACTTTGCACAGTACTCAGTCCAGAGTAAAACTTTAATTATCTTTACCCTGTAGTAGTAAATAGTACTATAGTAGCAATAATATTAATAGTGGTAATAGTAACAGTAGTTTAAAGAGTTCATTATGGGAACCTAACGATTTAGTAATACCTTACACAGCTGCAAATCCTTTGACCTCAAACCTGTGAGTTTTTGTTGACGTCTTCTTTCCCTATCTCCTTAACTTCACGTGCAATTGGTCACCATATCTGCCAATATTTCCGTGCCAGTTTCTCTCAGATTCACCTCCTCCTCTCCAGGCTCTGTCATGACTGTGAGCCTTTGGTCTTTGTGATTAGATTAACTGCGTTGGTGGGTGCTGCCTGTCTCCCCGTGGAGAGACTCTTCCCATCCCTCCCACAGGGCGCTGTAGCTCTTGAATGCTGTCCGAGCTCCTAGCACACAGTTCAAGGACTTCCTCCTCCCTCACCCAACCCTCTTGCACGATTTCTCAAATCAGGTCCTCATCCCAATCAAGCTGGACCTCCTTAGCTGGTTCTGCCACACATACCACGTTAGTCCCTGACTCCACATGTGTGCCCACGCTGCTGCTCTACCCAGGACAGGCCCTGACTTCCGCTCATCAGGCCACATTCAAATTCCTCCAAGTTTCTGCTTAAAATCAGACAATTCTATCATGAACACATCTTGCATCTACTCAGAATTCCGAAAACTTCTAGCTTCTCTTTATCTATATAACATTACTTCCAAACAGACATACGGCCACTGCTAAGTTTAAGAAAAGAATATGTTTGTATTGGATAATTTTCAGTAATTACTTATATGCACATACAGTTTAGGGCTCTCTTCACTCCTCCTGAGGGTAGAAATTGAGACGCCACTCCCCAACTTTGTCTACACACCCCATCTACACCCCTGGGCTAAGACGCTGAGTACTTAGCACAGAACTGGCCGGGCACACAGAGGAGTGAAGAAAAGGGTAGCTAACGTTTTATCGGACTAGCATAGTACTGTGTGTCGGTCACATTCACATAAAGCAGGTCATTTAATCATCATAACACTGCTGCGAGGAAAGTAAGTAACACAGGGAACTAGGCTCAGAGAGGCTATTTATGTTCATTGCCCAAAGTTACACCAACGGTAGCAGTGAAAGCCCAGACCAAAACATCTATCACTTCCAGCCTAAAGCCCTGGCTTTCTTTTACATTGTAAAGAGCCTGTGGCCTGAGGCTTTAGACTAAGCCGGGAGACATACACAGGAGTCAGTGGTGTTTAGGTGAGATCGGGAATCTTACTGAGCCAGGCTGCTTCCTGAACCCTTTAACTCTGACAGGGAGAGTTCTTAGCCCTGTAGCACCTTAAGTACCCACAATGAGCGCTCACCCTTTCCAAATAACCCCAACCAAGACAAGACACCCATGCATCTCAACAGTCATCTGTTTTTTGTTTTTGTTTTTGAGACGGAGTTTCGCTCTTGTTACCCAGGCTGGAGTGCAATGGCGCGATCTCGGCTCACCGCAGCCTCCGCCTCCCGGGTTCAGGCAATTCTCCTGCCTCAGCCTCCTGAGTAGCTGGGATTACAGGCACGCGCCACCATGCCCAGATAATTTTTTGTATTTTTAGTAGAGACGGGGTTTCATCATGTTGACCAGGATGGTCTCGATCTCTTGACGTCGTGATCCACCCGCCTCGGCCTCCCAAAGTGCTGGGATTACAGGCTTGAGCCACCGCGCCCGGCTCAACAGTCATCCTATCCAATCCTCACACCAGCAACCAAGGGAAGATTTTTACGCTGCTACAGGTGTGTTACCTCTACATGAAGAAGGTATTATACATTCACTTACTCAGGCACTTTTCCCTTCCCTTTCTTTTGAAAGGGAATTTATCCACTTTCATTCTCTTTTCCCGGAGGCATTCTGCTTGTCACCTTGAGCTCCGGAAGATGTCTGTTTAGAGAGCTTGCCAGAGTATTTGCTTATTTCAGAAAGGAGCATGGCAACAATTAACAGCTGTAATTGGTATGGCCTTACAAAATCCACACTGGGCTTTCCAAGGACAAGGCAGTGTCGAGTTAAAGCTAGATTATATTGACGTATGCAAAGAGAGGGGGGCTGAGAGCTCATGCTTGTGCAAGAATCTGTGGGTCCAAATCATGCCGAGGTTAACAGCTGTATGGAAGCTGCCTAACCACAGATTGTAAGCACTCACTGCGTTCTCGTAACTATTCAAGGCACTCTGAGAGACAACAAAAGGCGTGAACATCACCCTTGTTTTCAAAATCCTAAATCAGCTAAGATTCTTCAGAATCTGCTTGTACTTCCCATCACTCACTACTCCTTTGGCTGAAGATCTTAAGAACTAAACAATGATTAGAATAAGTGAGGCATTCACCTGTCTTATTCTGCCTAAAAGACTCTTACAGGGAGACAAAAATATTTCCCCAAGATGTACATAACTATGTGCCACTGACTCCGCTTGGAAGCGTCTTACCTTCTCCCAAATAGCTGGCTCTCAGTCAGTGTTAGTTGAATCAAATATGGATAAATATAAAACACATTTTTATTACACTGCCAATTTGCTGAGTGACTTGTAGAAAAGATGTTAATGTCTGTTCTTTGCAATTTTTGAAACCAATTGTGTATTCTATGGCTGGTAAAGCAGAATATGAAATGTGCATTGCTGCATGGGTTATTAAGCTGGTGTCTCTCAACCCTATGCCCACCTTACCATACTCTGCTTTGGATGCTGGGGCTGAGACTCTCCAAGCCGTAATTTCTCCTGTTTAACCAGCTCCTCTCCCCGGTAGGTTCTGCCTGCCCGTAGAAGGTGCTAGAGGGAGCCCAGGAGGCAGGAGTGGGGAGAAAGGACTTGCCCCTGTTACCTCCCAGCCTCATCACACCTAATTCTAAGAGGTCTGAGTCCAAGGGGACAGGGGACCAGGGACAGGCAGGAGCATCTCCTGGAAGGTCTTGAGGCCCCAGCCCAAGGGGCAGCACTCCTTCCTCAGGGGTCTCAGGCCCAGCCTCAAGAGGCTCCCCTCCAAACCTGCAGATGCCAGAGTCCTTACCTCTGTCCCGTGTTGCCCCAGCCAGAGGGGCACTGGCTGTTTTTCCTGGAGTCTGTCTCTGTGATGCCTCGGAGCTTCCTTTTTGCCTTCCAGATCTCCACAGGAAATTCTCCCTGCTGAAACCAGGTGTGAAAACCAGGTGTGAGATTTGTTCCCCTGACTAGACCTCAAACTGATAGGAGTATTGGCCTCAGAAACCACTTCTGTGTAAGCAGATCCTGACAGGCTTCAAAGTGGGATGCTTCCTGCTTCCCTGGGGGTGTTCTCTACCCACTCCCTCCTCCTTTTCCCTTCCCCCATCTTCCTTCCTCTCCCCCTCCTCCCTCCCTCTCCCCTCATCTCCTCCCTCCCTCCCTCTCCCTCTCTTTCCCTTTACCCCCTCCGTTTCTCCCTTTCCCTCTCCCCCTTCTCCCTTCCTCTCCCTCCTCCCTGTGGGCTCCATCACTCTCCCTTCCTTTCCCTTCCCCACTACTTTTCTCCCCCCTCCTCCCTTCCTCTCCTCGTCCTCCCCTGCTCCTGCTCACACCTGCACGTACAGATCAAGGCTCCGAACCTCCTGGAAAGTGCTCCTAGCTCTTTTAAGCAGGGCTAGCGCCATCTACAAGGAACTTTTGCCCTCCCCTAGACCCTCCTTCCAATACAGTTTCATTGCACACTTACAAGACGTCAGGCCCACACCAAGATGAAAGTCGAGAAGGCCTCACGCCAAAGCCTCAGCCCAGACTCCAGGAGGCACCAGCCTGCCTGGCGACCCCCCAGAGTCAGGAGTACCTGCAGCAAGGCTGGGCCTTTGTCCTTTGTTAAAGTGTTTAAAGCGCGCTTAGCTGCGAGGGATCCCAGGTGTGCTGAGTATTCCTGGGATCACGGATCCAAAGGTTTTCATAAATAGAGCACCTCAGAACAGTCCTGGGGTGGCCTTTCTGTCAGCTTCTATTTTTCCTTACCTAATCTGCAATGCCCTGAATTAAACCTATTTCATTAAAAGTCCTATGCCACATGCCATAAAATTACATGCATACAGTATTATATATCTGAACACACACCTACATGCATATGTATTTTTTTAACTTATTCTAAAATCCTTGTTCTCCCCCCAGTTCTGTTCCTCTGCCTGAGAACACAGTTCCAAATGGAATAGATTTTCATTTCTTTGTACGCAGGACCAAATGAAATGGCTTTCTATTCTACACAACAAGAACTGGGCACCTTTATTTTTTTTTTAACTGCACAATTAGACAATTTGGATTGAAAAGACAGAAAGAAAGAAAAGAAAAAAGAAAATACTGTATACTGAATGAGGAAATGTGAGAACTTCATACTCTAAATCAAATAAATAGAAAAAAGCCCGCAGCTATTTTTTTGGTCAATTTTATTCCCTTAGTTCCCTTATCTAGATAAGGCACAGCTGAGTTCCTCCAGGCAGCAAAACCGTTGCCTGTGTGATCTGGCCGTGAGTCAATCTGAGATCAGCTCAAAGCCAGCCACAACCTCCAAACCCATCCGTGTCGGAAGCCGTTGTGGATGTATTTGCAGGTGTTTTATTGGTGTTCATGCCGTTTATTCCTCAGAGTAAAGCTGTCCCTGCCATGCTCCAGGCAGAATTCTGCAGCTTTTGCCACAAGACTGGGCATAACGAAAAAGCCAACAGGTTGTTTTAGCCTCTCTATCACCCTCCTGGAGGTCTGCAGGGAGCAGAGAAGTGAATGTGCTCATACCCGTTTCTCTATGCACGTGTATCATGGTCGGCCCCATTTATGGGCTTTCCTATGATGGGAGAAGCACTGTGCTGGGTGCCTTACGTGCATTAATCTCTAATGAACCTAGTGACCCTCCACAAGTATTAGTGTTGTCCTTCCATTTATAATATAAGGAAATTAATGGTTATAAATTAACTCCTCAAGGGCCTTCAATTTGTAGCTGGCCTAGACAGTGTTCAGGCCAGATATATTGGCCTCCCTGCTCCAAGCCTAATACTGGCTGTTTTATGAACTAATCTCATGAACTTCATCCTGAACTGTGCAAAGAGCTAATACTCCAGGCAACAACAGAGTGGCTGACTATATTTAACTGTTTTGTTACCGCCTTTAGAAAGAGACCATTACCTACAGAGTTGCCCAAAATTCCAGGGTTCTTGCCATCTACACAAACTAAATGCAATTAATTAGATATTATAGATGCAGAAATACGTTTATAGGCCTGGGATTTTTAAAATATATTGCTCCTGGACTTCTTTTGAGAGTTATTAAAAGTATCCTTGCTGGGCATGGTGGCTCACACTTATAATCCCAGCACTTTGGGAGGCCGAGGTGGGTAGATCACCTGAAGTCAGGAGTTCAAGATCAGCCTGACCAACATGGTGAAACCACCTCTCTACTAAATAGAAAAATTAGCCAGGCATGGTGGCACATGCCTGTAATCCTGGCTACTTGGGAGGCTGAGGCAGGAGAATCACTTGAACCCAGAAGGTGGAGGTTGCAATGAGACAAAATCATTCCATTGCACTCCAGCCTGGGTGACAGAGCAAGATTCCATGTCAAAAAAAAAGTATTCTGAGAGGGAATATAGCTGCATGGTCAGATAAAAGCATGCTTCTAACTCAACCATCCACAAAAGGTTTAAGTAACTCAGTTATGAACGCAAGAACCAGTCCCATCTAAAGGAGAGACACACTGATGGAAAGAATCATAACCAACAGTTAAACTCCATTTGACACATGAAACACAAGCCCAGTCCTACTGAATGAAACTGCAGAACTAGGATCACAGAATGGGAGGAAGAATCCATGGAGGTCACCCACTTTTCCCACTGCAGTGCCCTTAACCTTTTTATAGACTGCTTCTATCAGCTTATCAGCCAACTAGAATTGTCATAAAACCATTTGATACTCCAAAAATTACAGGAATTCCTTCATTTTAACATGTTTAGCCTTATCCATTTTATTTTATTTTTATTTTTCTTAAATGGAAAGGCAGGATCCCTCCTATTAAACTTGTTCTTATTCTAGCATTGGGGATCTACACTTTCCAGAATTCCTGTTTCCTGTAATTCTCAGAGAAAATAATTTTTTTTTTTAAATAATAAGTTCAGGATGCAGAATGTGACATGGAAAACTTGGCTTATTCATCAACCTATATCCACTCCTTGATACAATTGTGTTCAATGCATACTAGTTCTTTGTAGACAAACTTATTAAACATTTGAGTTTAAAAATCTCATATAAAGGGAGGTTATACGTTTGTAACAAACTGAAAATCAATGTATTTCTGACACCTGTTGACCTTGATGATGAGAATTAGGTGCTTTCCTCCCCCAGCTTCATTCAGATATGGACAGGGGAGACGGATCTATCAAATACATCCTCTCGGGAGAAGGTGCTGGCATCGTGTTTACCATCGACGACACCACTGGAGACATCCACGCCATTCAGAGGCTCGATCGAGAGGAAAGAGCCCAGTATACTTTAAGGGCTCAAGCCCTAGACAGGCGTACAGGCAGGCCCATGGAGCCAGAGTCAGAGTTCATCATCAAAATTCAAGACATCAATGACAACGAGCCCAAGTTCCTGGACGGACCTTATGTCGCCACTGTGCCAGAAATGTCCCCAGTGGGTAAGGTGGTAACTCACTGTTTTCACAAACAGCACCTCCTATACACACACACATCACACACACAAGCACACAGAAGCACACTCACATACACACATATGCACACATACATTCAGAACAGGAGAGCATGAGAGGAACAGCTTACAAATCATAAAGCAACCAAGGTCGGGCACAGTGCTCATGCCTGTAATCCTAGCACTTTGGGAGGCCGAGGTGAGCGGATCGCAAGGTCAGGAGATCAAGACCAACTTGGCCAACACGGTGAAACCCTGTTTCTATTAAAAATACAAAAATTAGCTGGCCGTGGTTGTGCGTGCCTGTAATCCCAACTACTTGGGAGGCTGAGACAGGAGAATAGCTTGAACCAGGGAGTCGGAGGTTGCAGTGAGCTGAGACCACACCTCCGCACTCTGGCCTGGCAAGAAAGCGAGACTTCATTTCAAAAAAACAAACAAAAAAAGCAACCAAAAATGATGACCAAGCCCTTTGGCAGGCAGGAAGCTACTTAAACATTGGAATCAGCCAGAGAAAATAATAATAAGCCTATTATTGGTTTTTTTAGTTCTGATTCTTTAAAAACAATATTGCTAGACAGACAGAGAAATCAATAAATGGTTGAATAATATTTGATTCATAAGGGAGAAATGTTTTGTTATTATCAAAGGCTGTGTTCTTACCGGTCATTCCGAATTTAAAACACAACTCAGATCTCCGCCAAACAGGTATAAGAGTTATAAAAGCTTGACCTAGAAAGGGGACTCTCCCAATGAACCACATACATTTGCAAATGCTTCAAGATGTACCAGGATTGCATCCGGCCTTTAGCTATTAGAGTTGAACAGGTTTCTGCGTCTTCTCTTCCCCAGGTACCTCTGTCATCCAGGTGACAGCCACGGATGCAGATGACCCGACCTATGGCAACAGTGCCCGGGTGGTGTACAGCATTCTCCAGGGACAGCCATATTTTTCTGTGGACTCTAAAACAGGTATCTGATGCAAGGGTCCAGTCAGGTGTTTATTCCCTGACAATTTATAACTGCTGCTATGACAGACCCAACTCCTTCTCAAGGACTCGCCATGGAGCATATTAGCCAGAGAAGATTGTTATAAGCTTTAGGATTAAGAGAGTAAACTAGCACTGCCCTGAGGGATAAGAGCAGAGCTATGCACAGACAGTGGGTAGTGTCTGACTGGAGAGGAAGAAGGCCCCTCTGCGCACACACAAAAAATGGCTCCCCACTAGCCTTCAAAAAAATCCTATGGTTATATTTATTCCCAGGGACTATGGCGTTTTATAACCCCATGAAGACCCAAGAGGATTGACACATTCACCTGGGTCATTAGAGAACTAGAAGCATTGATTGTGAAACTGGAAAAGGCCTTGGGGGAATCATCCAGTCCATCACCTTTTTAACAGATAAAGAAATTGGGAAACTGAGAGCTAATAAATCTCATCTAGTGTAGAGAGGTCTCTTGACATGGGATCTAATGTTCTTTCTATTGAACCGACTACTCTGCACGCACCAGAGTTCCAGTCCAAAATGAATGGTTGCCGGGACAGACAGGTTTTGAGGAGAGGGGAAACACCATGTGAGATGTGGTCCCCAAAAGGCAGGTCCCGATTGGGAAGCTCTAATGGGGATGCCATCAGAGAGAACTGAACGGGCGAGAAACAATGTGGCAGAAAATGACAAACAGAAGTTTGGTGTTTTGTTTGCTTATTTTTCCAATCTTGCCCGAGAGCTTTGACTACAGAATTTATGTTTGGATCTATGAAAGATTTCATTTAATATGTTTGAGTTGGGCAGTTATTGTGATGTCATTATTATACTTGTGCCAAGCTTCCTCTTTTATTAAGTACTTTAATAAACGTTGCCATATTTGAGCTTCCCAATAATCTTGAAAACTAGCAAAAGATATAGAAGTATTATTACTTCCATTTTATATGAGGGTAAACATAGAACCTAGGAGTAATTAACAAGGAACTTGAGTAAAGAAACTTGCAGCCACAGGATAAAGTTAATGGTAAGCACTCTAAGTCACCTCTTTATTTGAAAAAGAAAAAATACATTTATATTACTAGCAACCTGATAGAATGTTTTTTTCCCAGATGTCCTGAGGGGAACCAGACATTCAGAAAATTATGTCATAAAAGTAGTAAGTAAGGGAGTTTAAATGAGGAGGAAGAAAGAAAAAAGGTTGCAGTTAGGGACTTCTATAAAACAGTAACTTTAACAATTCTACTAAGGGCAAGGGGGAGAATGAAAAGATGAAGGGGTGCCCACAGGGAGGAAAAATACAGGGAGGAAGAGGGTAATGTGTCCTTTATATCCTAAGAAGAGTCTTACATTATTTTGACAGCTCCTGGGGGCATCTGTAGTGTTAAGGTCAAAAATACATGAACAGATAGTTATTACTGTGCCCGTGGGGGCCTTTTAAAAAAGAAAATGCTGCATATATCATCATTTGAGAATGTTATTACTATAATGCTGTATATATATACTATAGGGGTAAACGAGGGACAGATTATTATTCCCAATCTTTCCCATTTTCATGCAAAAGGTCTATCTAGCCAAGAGTCGTGTTGTAAATCTGTAGTAAATAAGCCTTTAATCTTTGCCTAGAGTATACAGTCAACTTTTTTAAGTTGAAGGGTTTAAAGGGAGATAAAAAATTACTGTACAGCCTTGGCAGGATCACAACACATTTCAGCGGATTGTGGTTTAGGCCCCTCTTCTTAAATGAAACCGTATCTGCTGCCTGCTGTCTGGGGAAGTTCATCTCTTATGCATGGTAAAAATAAACAGCTCACAGAGCATCTTTCATATCCCAGCTCACAGAATTCAGTAAAGCACAGAGGTAAACAGAAGACTATCACAAAACAGAATGAATATGTAGCAACAGGAAAATCCAATCAGAATTCCAACTCTGTTTACAGGTAGTAAGTAGGGAGGGAAGAAAAAGCAGGAATGAGTTACCTAAAGAAGAGCCATTCACATTACAAGGGCTCTAGGGGCTAAGGAACTGAGAGAGAATTATCTACATTCACAGATTTGTAGACATATGAGGCTTTGTTTTCTGGACCCAAAGCCCCCAGTTTTCTTTGAAACAACGCTGTCTGAAACCGCCTTGGACCTCAAGTTCCCAGATCTGTAAGAGAAACATTGCTGCCATCTGCTGTTCACTTTAGGTAATGTTGCCAGAGGAAACCAGCCCTCTGGAGCTCTTCCCGCTGGAAAAAAAAATAGTTTTCATTCACTACTGGTTTCAGTACAGCCATTTTTGAAGCTGAGATTTTTGCCTCAAATTTAAAAGCACAGGTGACTTGCAACTCACTTCAAGGTATTAGGCACCAAGGAGACAACTAGAAACCAATCTTTAAAAAATGGGACCTGTGGTTTTGTTTTTAAAAACAAAGTTGTTTCTATCCTGCAGGTGTAATTAGGACAGCGCTCATGAACATGGACAGAGAAGCCAAAGAATACTACGAAGTGATTATCCAAGCCAAGGACATGGGAGGGCAGCTTGGAGGATTAGCTGGGACCACAACAGTCAACATCACACTCTCGGATGTCAATGATAACCCACCCCGCTTTCCCCAGAGTGAGTATCTAACCCAAGAGAACACAGACCTGCCACCTAGAGGGACGCACCTTTTACAGTGGTACAGGAGAAAGGCCAATTTGGGTATCCTCATTAAATTCAATCATTCATGGATTCCTTTCTTACATTCATCTTGCAATTCTCACGTAACTAGTTCCCTTCAGGGCCCCAGCTTCCCATAGTACTAAACCAAGGTTTTTCAAACTTTTTTTCCATCTCCTTGTGGAATCTTTTTAGACTTTCTTTCCTGATTGCCATGCCCACCCACTCTGCATAAAATTCCATACTAAGGAATAAGGTTTGTTGGGTAGAGCTGACCTTTAGTGGGCCACAAACTTGTAATGGCTAAGATTTTTTTCATCACACCCTCTCAAACCTATCTTTTCCCCAGGAGGGGGCAATATTACTCCATTGAGAATGCATGCACTGACAGCCAGTGCTTAGATGGACATACCCATCCATGTGATGATCTTCACCAATCAGTCCAGTAGGTACCAAGCACTTGCTTTGTGAGAGCACTGGGCATGAGGGGCATAAGACACTGAGACTCCAGACCCTGCCCCTGTGAAGCTTCAAATCCACTTGGGAGGACACATTTTACACACAGGAAAACTTAACTCATAGTAGAACTTGGTGCCACTTGAATAGTGCAAAACTGAGATGAATGCATAAACTGAGATGAATGAAGCCTCCACAGAAGGATGAGATTTCAACAGAGGGTTTCAGAATATAACAGGTTTATTCTCAAACAAAAATAGATTTAAAAAAATCAACAACAACAACAGTAAAAACAGGTTTATATAGATAGGGGAAAAAAACATTCCAGAAGGGGAAGTCATTCATTCATTCTTTCAAAAAATATTTATTTCAGGCACTAGTCTATGAATGGAACACAAAGCTGTGTACAAACAAAACAAAGTCTCTACTGTCCTAGAGCTCATTTCAGTAAAAAACTGCATGGAGGAAAAAAAAAATCCTGCCTAGAAATAAGTTTTCAACTTCATTTTGTGTTCAAAGACTCCTAAAATTAAAACCTACTCTTTAAAATGTGTTGTGTCTCTAGTGGAAGCCGTAGAAAAGTTTTTGAGCAAGAGGGAGACAAAAAGAAAGGCTGACTTGGTAGCCACGTAGAGGAGGGGTTGGCGAGGGCAGAGACTCGGAGCAGGGGAGTCGAGAGTCAATTAGGAGGTGTGTAGAGTGGCCCAGACTTGAACCGCTGAGGACTTAAGGAAGCAGCAGAAGGAGTGGAATGACAAATGAGAAAACAGGGGCTTCTGCCTCTTGACTTCCTGGCTAAGGGAAAACCATGGCAGAAGGTGGAGTCAAAGATGACAATGATGTTTTCACTCTGGATGACAGGGAGAAGGATTGTACTGCTAATAAAAATAGAGGATGCATAATGGAACTAGTGGCAGCGAAGGAGGGAGACAGATTCAGATTTGAATATGAAGCGACAGCAGGACAATCAGGTTGCACATCCTTAAGGAAAGTGGAAATATAGAGCTATGACCATGGAACAGAGCCCAGAAATGGAGACGTGAATTTGAGAAGCAGATGCCTGAAGGGAGCAGCGGGAGAAATGAGAGCAGGAAGTGCAATTGCAGGTGAAACACTTAGCTAGGGAAATGGGGCTTTAAAAAAAAATATCTAAACTAAAAGGAAAGAGTCAAGCCAGACTAGCCAGAATGTCAGATGAATAGTTGCATTTTGAATCAGCCAGACCAAGTGAACCTTCCATTGTATCTATGAAACACAGAAAGAGCTCAAATATTTACATACAAATTGAATACACAAAGTCCTCCTGAGCATTCATGATGGAAAAGGCAGGATAATAGATAAGCATTTCACAAAGGGTGCAAGTTAAGTTCCTAAGTTGCTTGGTCCAACAGTGCAGAACATGAGAGCATCACGGAACAGTTTGTGAAATGCCACGTGGTTGGGCTTTGTGTTGCTTTGGTGATCATGTGGGTTCCATCTTCATTACTTCATGAAGGGCTCACATTACTCACACTGTAGACTGTAAGTTCTTGAACACTCTTGAACTATGTGCTTTTACAGTTGACACTAGACAGGTGTCTCTGATGAAGGCAGAAGGCACAGAAGAACCAGGTTATTACCTAGCTCAGGTTATTAATAGCTGAAAGGTAGATGGGTTTGGACATATTGTCAGGAGTCATGAGTCATGTTACTCCAAGCATAGCAGCTTCACAATAGCAGAACACAACACAAGGATTACTGGGGTTTTAGTCTTGCCTCCCAAACCAATCTTTTTTTTTTTTTTTTTTTTTTTTAGACAGAGTCTTGCTCTGTCACCTAGACCTGACTGCAGTGGTGCAATCACAGTTCAATGTAGCCTCAACCCCCAGGCTCAACTACAGCTGGAACTACAGGTCCACACCACCATGCCCAGCTAATTTTTATATTTTTTGTAGAGACAGAGTTTTGTCATGTTGCCCAGGCTGGTCTTGAACTCCTAAGATCAAGTCATCCGCCTTCCTCAGGCTCTCAAAGTGCTGATATTACAGGCATGAACCACCACACCCAGCCTCAAACCAACATCCTAACACCATTCTAAAGCATGCATTTTAAGTTGTCACTTTTTCAAAATATAGTTTTAGTGGAGACTCTAGGATAGAGTGGAATTATGGATTATGTTTCATGGAAGACAAAATAGAAATGTAAAAAAAATTAAATCTCTGTGCCTGTATGCATTCTACACACATTATCTCTGCTTTCTCCTTTCTGACCTTTTAAAACTTTGCATTCTCTCTTTGTTAAATAGTTCCCCATCTATTTGCCAAAATTAAGTTTAGATGACCTTGATATTCCAAAAACTTTTCTTGGATATACTCTTCTGCCTAATTAATCTTCTGATTCCTCATTGTAGGAATTCCATTTTGCTTCTTTTTTACAAATATTACTATAGCTGAATACAGAATGCCAACAAAATGACACATCTAAATATTTTACATTCAATAAGCTCAGTCACCTTTAATGGAACCAAATGTAATAAAACATCAAGATCTCAAGCTCTCTATTTATAACATAATGTATCATGTGCAGAAATTGTATGTAGATGTTTAAACATATAACATAGCTTTCCTGGGATGAGGAAAATTGTTGACAGATGCTTGTTTTTCCCAAAAGTTCTGCAACAGCGAAGTGTAATCCATCAACAACTTTGGAAGTAAATGGAAAGGAATCATGAAATACAATCGCCTGCCAGCTTAGTACAAATATTAAAGATTCCCTGACTCATATTTGTAAAGAACAAGCATCATTTCTTCTCCTGTGCAAGGCAGGGTGCTATGAGCTAGCTGGGTGCTGTCAGCCTCCCTGAATCTTTTTGAAACTCGAGCCCTCACATCCCAATCTTCCCCATTGCTTACAAAGCGTATTAGAATAAAAGGGAATATGTACATACTGAAAACGTGATTGTGTGATTTTTCTTTGTTAGTCACATTATGATTGACAAAATAACAAAGAATGTCAAAAAGTTGATCCCCAGAAAAGGTAAGTTGGTAAAAATACAACTTCATGGAAGTGAAAGTGACTAAATTTAATTGTGAGCTCAAGATACCATATCTAAAAGGAGATTGCCAACTCTGAGCTTCTTACACAAGTGAGAACCATTTTGGTACTTTATTCTGGAACAAGAAAACAGGAAGCATGAAGAGACAGTCTGGCCACGGAGAGGCAGCCCAAGGCAGTCTCAGGTGCAAGGACACGCTGAGGGGCAGCACATGGAGCTGCTGGAGCTTGTTCTCCATGGCTGCTCCCCCTTTATAGATCACCAGTCTCCACCACCTCTAAGCAGGTGGTTGTAGAGATGGGCACTCAGCACATGGGCCAGACCATGAAAGAAAAGGTGAACAGTTGAAGCATAAACAGAATAAATATGCACTTTGTGACCACAGTGTTTATTTTGTCATTCTCCTAAGGAAGTGCAGTTTGAGGAAATACTTCAGTTCAATAGGAAGTACTAAAAGATTTGAATGCAAGATACTTCCTACCACTCAAGCTCCAGTCACTAGGACTAAGTCGTTTGCTTTCACCCTGTTCTACTCAAACTTGTTTGACTCCTTCTTATTGAACATCCAGGACAGGCCATGACCAGTATGACCATTTTGCTCAGCCTTTCTGGACCTCAGTTTTTATCTGTAAAAACTCAAGTTTTACTTTTAGAACCCAGAAAAAAAGATATTTTGCACAGCATGCCTGGTAAGATATGATAATGTGAGTCATTTTTTATAGTGATGGATTATCAAGAATGCGTGTCCTGGCTTTTCCTTGTAGAACATTACCAGATGAGTGTGTTGGAATCGGCTCCAATTAGCTCCACTGTGGGGAGAGTGTTTGCCAAGGACTTGGATGAAGGCATCAATGCAGAGATGAAATACACTATTGTGGACGGAGATGGTGCAGATGCCTTTGACATTAGCACAGATCCCAATTTCCAAGTTGGTATCATAACTGTGAAGAAGGTAATCCAACTCATCTTTCTAAACCATTTTCATGGGTGCTTTGAATGTATATGAAGTGCTAGTAAGGACTGCTGTATTATTGATATGCATTGCCCCAAATCCTCTGGTAAAAGCGCTTTCCTATAATTAAAACACACACACACACACACACACACACACACACACACACACACACAGAAAACCTCTTGATCTTTGTGCTTATATGCAAACACTGGCTGTGCCATCATTTTACTGAAAAGGTGCCAGGTCATCATAAAAAATATATTTCTAAATACATTCCTTCTACCCAGCCACTTAAAAAAAACTGTTGTAGCGGCTGGGCGCAGTGGCTCACGCCTGTAAGTTCAGCACTTTGGGAGGCCAAGGTGGGTGAATCACCTGAGGTTGGGAGTGTTCAAGACCAGCCTGACCAACATGGAGAAAGCCCGTCTCTACTAAAAATACAAAAACTTAGCTGGGCATGGTGGTGCATGCCTGTAATTCTAGCTCCTTGGGAGGCTGAGGCAGGAGAATCACTTGAACCCTGGAGGCAGAGGTTGTGGTGAGCTGAAATCACTCCACTGCCCTCCAGCCTGGGCAATGACAGCAAAACTCCATCTCAAAAAGAAAAAAACAAAAACAAAAAACTTCTGTAGCTTAATTTGCTAATGATGTTAATGATGTGATCAATATTTGCACTTGAATAATGCATGCATTGTAGCATACCACACATAACAATAAAACAAGCCATAATATTATTTATGAATCAATAAATAACATGCAGGGAATTTTTAATTGCTTCTCAAAGATTAATAAATTCTAATTAAACTTGAAAAAGCTTTATCAAACATAGCTGCTGAATGACTGTTATTACTTGAAATTCCTTTGTTTTATGATAAGGTACCAAGATAAGCTATCCATTCTTTCTGTGACATAAAGCACATATGGATATACTTGGCTAGAAGATAAAACTTTTTACAAATGGAAGTTTTAACTCCCTAGTAAATATATATCTAATGAAATACATTAATTTTAAAATTCATTGACTTAATCTTTCTTCTCTATTTTGAATACATTTTAAAACCCAATATATTTTAAATGATTTATTCAACAAATATTTATTGATTGTCAGCTATGTGCCAGATATTGTTACAGGCATTTAGTGTAGAGTAAATAAAACAACCAAAAATCTCTGACCTCATGGAGTTTACATTCTAGCAAGGGAAGAAGACAATCAAAACAGAAGTCACTAAAGTACTTTATTAGAAGGTAATCATTGATATGGGGTGAGCGGCAGAATAGAACAAAATAAGTGAGGCTAAGAAAGCTAAGATCATTTCAAATTTAAATTGGGTGGTTGGCCAAATGTCCATCAGTCAAAGAGTGGATAAAGAAACTGTGGTGTAAATATATATAAATATATACACACACACACACACACACACACACACACACACACACACACACACACAGTGGAATACCACACAGTTATAAAAAGCAATGGACTAACAGCGTTTCCAGTGACCTGGATGGAAAACCAAACATCTTACGTTCTCACTGATACGTGGGAGCTAAGCTGTGAGGATGCAAAGGCACAAGAATGATACAGTGTACTTAGGGGACTTGCAGGAAAGGGTGGGACGGGGGTGAGGGATAAAAGACTACAAATATGGTGCAGTGCATACTGTTTGGGTGATGGATGCACCCAAATCTCACAAATTGGCACTAAAGAATTCACTCATGTAACCAAATACCACCTGTACCCAAATAACTTATGAAAAAATAAAATAAAATAAATTGGGTGGTTGGAACTGGCATCACAGAGAAGTGGCATTTATGCAAAGACTTACAGTGAGCCGAGTCATACCACTGAGTGGAGCAGGTTGACAGTGTGGGAGGTGCCCTATAAATGACTCTTGGTGAAAAGCGTACATGGCAGTCCCAAGAGAATGGGCATGGAACTATTGAGGAAAGTGTTCCAAGCAAAAGGACAGCCAATGCAAAGGCTTTGAGGTGGGACCATACCTGCTGTCTTTCAAGAACAGCAAGGGCAGCGTCACAAGGCTGAGTGTGGGGGTGACTCTTAGGAGATGAGGTCTGAAAAGTAATAAAGAAGCCAGATCATGTAGGACCATATAGGCTGACTGTAAGGACTTTGGTTTTTACTCTAAGTAAAGTGGGGAATGACTGAAGGATTTTTAACAGATGGATCACATGGCTGGGGTTCATTATAAAATAGTAGGCTGTGTTAAGGTGGGCGGAGTTTAAAAAGAGAGGAGTGGAAACACAGAAACCAGCTGAGAAGCTATTGCAGTAATCTAGGTAAGAGATGAGGGTTTCCCCTAAGTAGCGGGAATGGAGGTGATAAGAAGTGGTTAGAATCTGTACATATTTTCAAAGTAGAGCCAACAGGATTTCCTAAAAATGTGGATGAAGATATGGAAGAAAGAGAAGAGTCAACCGAACAACAAGAATGGAGCTGTCATTAACTGAGACAGGAAGTCTGCAAGTAGAACAGGTGGCAGGGGTGACAGGAACTGGAATTCAGTTCTGGGCATTGACATCTGCAGAATCTGTTAGACACCAAGGAGAGACATGTCAGGGCTATTTGGTGTCTAATAGACATAAGACACAGTTATAAGAGTGAGGAGTTTGGAAAAGGGTCCTGGGCTGGAAATATGAATTTGGGAGTCATAAGCATATAGATGGTACTTAAAGCAAATACAACAAATGAGATTCCAAGGGACTGAGCATAGACAGAAAGAGGACAGTGAAACAAGCCCTGAGGCACCCCAAAATGAAGAAGTCAGGGAAAACATAGGACAGGAAAGGAGACTGAGGAGAGACCAGGGGGGCGGGAAGAAAACCAAGGAAGTGCAGTGTCCTGAAGGCATGAAGAACGTGCTTCCAAGGGAAGGAGTGATCACCTGTGGAAAAGGCTGATACAGGTCAAATAAGAACATCAGAAATTAACCACAGGCTTTAGGAACATGGAGGTCACTGACAACCTTGACAAAAGCAACAGTCATAACATTAAAATGTAACAGGAGTTAACATGTGTGTCTAATAACTTTTTTTCTATGCTATTTGATAGAACTGAATTAACACTGCTTTAGAAGAGAATAAAGGACGAATTCATATGCTTGTTCTGTATTTATTTAAGATGCAGTCAATCACACCAAAAAAAAAAAAAAAAAAATCACAGCAAAGGATCCCAAATTCCACAAACCAGAAGACTTTCTATCCTGTACAAAGTGACTTTGAAACAGTGCAAAATGCTGAAATTAACTTCTAATTTATCAAATAAATCCAGGTGTAATTAAAATACTAGAATTTCTTATATTATTCTCATTCTTTGAGAATTAATATCACATGCTACAATTGTAATAGGTGATTAAAATAACAATACTAATTTGGTATATGTCATAGGGTCCCCTACTATGTGGTATGCCTCAAGTAAACAATACTACATTGCTAACTATGACTTGTAACTGTAAATAAGGCAAATGCTCCAATTTCTGAATTACTGGAGTTTTGGTTGTTTGTGACAAAGTCTCACTCTGCTGCCCATGCTGGAGTTCAGTGGCACAATCATGGCTCACTGCAGCCTTGACCTTATGGGCTAAAGCAATCCTTCCACCTCACCCTCCTGAGTAGTAGGACTACAGGCATGTGCCACCCCAGCCAACTAACTTTTTTGTTGTTTGTTTGAGACAGGGTCTCACTTTGTTGCCCAAGGTGGAGTGCACTGGCATGCTTATGGCTCACTGCAGCCTGTAGTCCCAGCTACTCAGAAGATGAGGTGGAAGGACTGCTTGAGCCCACACATCGAGGCTACAGTGAGCCATGATCATACCATAGCCAACTAATTTATTTTTTTTAATTATTTTTTTATTTTTTTATTTTTTGTAGATACAAGGTCTCCCTATGTTTTTCAGGCTGGTCTCAAACTCCTGAGCTCAAGTGATACTCCTGCCTTAGCCTCACAAAGGTCTGAAATTACAGGCATGAGCCACTGTAACCAGCTTTATTGTTTCTTTAGTACAAAAACTCGATTCAAACAATTAAGCAATCAGAAAAAAAACTTTTGGAATTCTCAATATTTAAGTGTTATCTATGTCTTAAAATAATGTATAATTCGAAATAATAAAATAATATCAATTTATATTGGATTATCACAAAACAATTTGGATTCTATTACAAGCAACTTGTTTTAAAAAGTCTATTTCCTATAACAACTCTGTCTCTGAAAGAAATCTCAAAATGTGTTTTCTCCAGCTCCCTTACCTGCAAAAAAGATGAAGCCTCTTAAGACAGAGAACTGTTTTTCACTGTCATTACTAAAATGATACGCCAGAAAATGGAATTAAGAAAGAGTTCAATAAGTTGCATAGATGGACAAATCACATATAATAAATACTTTAGAGGTCACTGATTGCTCTCAAATCTATGCCTTTGGAACAACATTCACTCAGATGTCTGTTCCACACCCATCTTCCCACTTTGTCATTAATAATGTCATATAAATTTGAAACAAAAGTTCTGCTTTTGATTTATTTCCATTAGGCCTATTATTTGTCTAAGAAGTACATACTTTTTCAAACAGAGAAACTGAGTTGCGTTGATAGAACTAGGTCTTCAGGAAACCACACTGATTACTACCCAATACCTTTGGCCGTTTTAGCTTTTAAGTAATCAATCAATCAATTTTGAGTCTCTTGACTTAAATGCTTGAAGTATAACTTGAAATATATAATTTTCAGGATGTCCTTTACTCTGAATGAGCATGATGTGCCATTTTCTAGTCTTCTGCATATCTTATGTCTTATGGCAACAAGAAGCAATTGTTTAGAGTCCATTCTCTTCTTATGCAGGTCACAAAGAACAAAAATTCTACATTTCATCAAGTTAGATGTCATGCATTATAAATCTCATCATTGTTTTATGGGTCATCTAAGAAAATGTCTCACCAATTTAAATAATGCCACGCTTTCCTATTTCCTAGTTTAGTGTCTATATTA